TAATACCTGATGCATCTTCCACGCCCACAATGCACAAAGGCAAGCTGTTCTGCAGTATAATAAACAGCCATATTGTCACATCCATCTCAACATACAATATTTTAAATAAAGCACAAATAGTTTTCTACCAAAACATCGCACATCTGACCACATCTACTCTCTTCATACACTAATTAATAAAAACATCAAGGACAAACAAAGGAAAATATTTGCATGTTTTGTCGACTTAAAAAAAAAGAATTCGACTCAATTTGACGTGCAAGGGTTTACTGTACAAACTCCCAAAAAATGGTATTGGTGGAAAAAACTTAAATATTATACAGTCTCTGTACACCAGCAGTAACTGTGCGGTGAAAATCAACAGAACAGCGTTTTTATGGCAGGGGCGTGGCGTGAGGCACGGCTGCAGTCTGAGTCCAACTCTATTTAACATCTACTTCAATGATCTGGCAGCAGCACTGGAGCGCTCTGATACCCCCGGCCTCACTCTACACCATACAGAGATCAGATGTCTGCTGTATGCGGATGACCTGCTTCTGCTGGAACAATACTGTCACCAGTGGGCCCTGACCGTAAACCTGGACAAAACCAGAGTCGTGGTGTTCCAGAACAAGACCAGGTCTCAGGGAAACAAACACCAGTTCACATATAAAGGACAGGTCCTACAGCATAGCACTAGCTATAGTTACCTGGGCATCGACATTAGCGCATCGGGAGGCTTCGGTCTGGCTGTCAAAACACTGAGCGAAAAGGCTCGGAGGGCTTTTTAAGCAATAGTCACAATGTGGTCAATTAAAACTGCCCATTAAAACTCGGACTCAATAATAAAACCGATTATTTTATATTGATTTGAAATCTGGGGACCAGTACTACATTTTAAAAATTGGAATAAAACTTCAGTAGAAAAACTACAACTAGAAATTGTCAAAAACATGTTAGGGGTCCACAGAGGCACGTCCACCGATGCCTGCAGAGCTGAATTAGGCTTCTACCCACTGAAGATTGAGGTCCAGAAGAGATGTGTTTAAATTATTATTTTATGTTTACGCGGCACGATGCAACACGTACAAAATAGTATAAGTCATTATAATCCGTAATTATGTCCCCACTGGATGCAGCAAATGCCTGGTTTATAATGGGTTTTAATGTGTTTGTCTCGTCGCTCCGGCCGGACAGGGCATCATCACAGTATGTGAGGGGCGTAACATTTCCGTCACACGCTTGAGGTATTCGGCCAATCACAACGCACTGGATAGCTGGCCAATCACAGCACACCTCGCTTTTCAGAACGATGAGCTTTGTAAAAATCGACGTGTTTCAGAAAGGCGGGGCATAGAGGGGAAACAATAATGTACAGTATGTGGAAAATAATGTGTTTTTTTTACCTTAAACCGCATAAACACATTTCATTACACCAAATACACAAAATAATGTTCTTTTTAGCAGCATCATATGATCGTCTTTTTCAATCTGCAATGATAGATTGATATAATATCTGCATCTGTGCAGTTCTTTGTCATAAATCCAGTTTACATGACATGGATGTATGTCAAAGAACCGCGGGGGAGCAATCGGTTCCACATCTACTGTAAGGTTTTCGCTGCGTTCAGCCCTCATCACGCCACAGCTGTTTCCTCCAGTGAAAACTAAGCTCATATGAACACATACTTTATAAAACAATCATGTTGCCATTTTCATTTGAAAGTGTATCTTTCGATGTAATACATATTCCAGTGCATGTGACAAAGAGGTTTGCATAATTGAGTTAAGGAAAGAGGGTTGTACTAGAAATGGAAACAGTAAAATTTTGTGTG